TCCACAGAGTTTCCGTTGGCTATTGTTTTGGAAGTAGATCACCAGGCCTTTCTCTACAGTGCCTCTGGGTGGACTCGACCCTCCAGCCTTTAAGTTAGCAGCCGAGCTTGTTAACCATTTGCACCACCCAGAGACTCCATGTACTATTGGTAGTGAGAAAAACTGGCAGGAGGGAGGTTACTCAAGGGCTGTTGATATAATCTAGACAGTGAGAATGGAGGAAAGCTTGTGGTGCAAGTAGATTAAGGCGTCCTGTTGCCAGTACTGATTGGATTTGGGGTCTAAGGAAGGAGTCACAGGTCAGTCCCAGGTTTCTGGCTGGACTGAGCTTGCTGAGATACAAAATAGAGGGGAGGAGGTAGTTGATAACTTCAGTTCTGTGGGCGGTGCTGAGCACCCTTCCTTTTCTCCTGTTGGTACAATGGCTTCCATGACCACTGACAGGAGGGGAGGAGTGGCAATAACAGTCTTGTAGGGAAGGGTGTGTCAGAATTGACTCCACTGCAGTGGGTTTTATGGATGGGCCAGACCCCTCCCCCCTGCCCCTTAGTCTCAACCAGACCTTACTGAGGGGCGAAGAGAAGCAAGTTTTCTCATGCCCTCTCCCTCCATTTCCACCTCTGCAGCTGGTGCTTTCGAAGGAGGAGATGGAGGGTTAAGGAGCCCTGGTGGCGCAATGGTTAAGCGCTTGGCTGCTAACTAAAAGGTTGACAGTTCAAACCCACCCAGTGGCTCTGTGGGAGAAAAACCTGGCGGTCTGCTTCCATAAAGATTACAGCAAAGAAAACCCTATGGGATTGTTATGCTCTGTCATATGCGGTTGTCATGAGTGGGAATTGGCTTGACGGCACACAACAACAGGTGGAGGGGTGTGAGGAGTACTCATCGGACCCGGGCAGGGGAGTGAGGAGCAGGGGTAGGTGGGATCTTCTTTGGAAATTTTACCTTGTACAACCTTGGGCAAGTTCCTTAAAAACCCACCGTGGCTCCGTTTCTTCCCCTCTGAGGGCTAGATGAGTTCACATGTGTGGAGTGCTCAGAAGAGTGCCTGGCACGTAGTCAGTGCTGTTCACGTGTCGACTGTGGCCGCTGCTACCAGAGGGGTCACTGCTCTGTCCTGGGATCAGAGTAGCAAGAGGACAGAGGAATGTTTCCCGGCTTTTCCTGTGGAAGGAACAAATATTCAGAAACTGCCTATCTACAATACTAGTAGAAATCATTACATTGGGGGTATTTCTGGTAATAGGAGAACCTTTGTTTGTTTGTTAGTCTGCCTTGCCTTTATTTTTGAGTTAGGAAAAAGTCAAGTAGTTCAGTTTAGATTTAATGAGAGTAATTATTCTTACTTGCAGCCTTGCTTTCAATGTTCACCCTAATGCATTTTAATAATAAATAGCCGTTTGTATTGGGGCTTAGGGACAGGGGATAATTATAGGAAAAAGCCCTACCGTGATTCTGGAGAGGGGAGATGTTTTCTAATAGAAAAGTTAGATGAAAAATATCACATTTAAATAAAGGCCTTCTTGTATTTTTTATACCTGCAGTATTTGTTAAAAGTCAAAATACTTTATAAAAGTATGCTTTTATTTAAATTTAATGATTGTTTATTTTTAACTACAATTTTCAAACATGCTTTTTGAAATAACAAAATTTAAACAATACAGAATGAAGAGGTTAAAAAGACAAGCCTTCTTTAATCTTCTTCCCTAATACCTACCCCTTTTCAGAGAGAATATCTGCTGTTTGAATTTCTCCTTCCAGATCTCTTTTCTATAGATACACATATACAAGTTTTTTTTTTTTTAAATAACAAATGACATCATGTTAGACACATTATGTGTTGTGCACAATGTTGTAGGACTTTTTCACCTCTCATTATGTGTAACTACATATCGATTTACCCTTTATTTTTAATGGCCATATAATATCCCCTTGGGTGGATGTGCCATAATTCATTTAACCATTTCCCTATCAATGAACATTTAGATTATTTTCAATATTTTGTTACAGTTTATTCATTCAACAAATGTCTGTTGATGGCTATGTGACAGGCGGTGCTAGGGATATAACAGTGAACAAAACAGAACAAAATTCCTGCTCTTATGTAGTTACATTTTTTAGGGGGTTCCAAGCCCAAGCCTGTTGCCTTCGAGTCAATTCAGACCCGTAGCGACCCTACAGGACAGAGTAGCACTGCCCCAGAGGGTTTCCAAGGTGCGACTGGTGGATTTGAACTGCTGACCTTTTGGTAGCAGCTGAGCTCTTAACCACTGTGCCACCAGGGCTCCTTCTAGGAGGTAGACAGACAATAAATGAATTTAAAAAAAAAAAAAAAAAACACCACGTCAGATGGTGACAAATGCTATTGAGGACTGTAAGGTAGGGAAAGAGATAGAGGGGGCCAGAAGTGAGGGGAGGGGTGTGCAATTTAAAATAGAAAAACCCATTGCCATTGGATTGATTCCAACTCCTAGTGACCCTATAGGACAGAGTAGAACTGCCCCATAGGGTTTCCAAGGCTGTAATCTTTATGGAAGCAGACTGCCACATCTTTCTCCTGTGGAGTGGCTGGTGGATTTGAACTGCTGACCTTTCGATTAGCAGCCAAATGCTTAACTGCTGCGCCAGCAGGGCTCCTTCAGTAAAATACAGTGGTCAGGAAAGATTCACCAATAGATGACATTTGAGCAGAGATCTGGTGAAGGCTATGAAGCTACTGGGGGAGAGTGGAGAGGGAGGGAGGAGAGTGTTCTAGGAAGAGGAGAAGAAGTACAAAGGCCCTGAGGTAGAGGCATGCTGATGTGATGGAGGAAGAGCAATGAGGCCATTGTGGCTGGAGTGAAATGAGCAAGGGGAGGGGACAAAGTCCCAGAAGGCAGAGGGAGTCTGCGACAGATTGTGTGAGTCTTATAGTCCATTGTAAGGACTTTGTCTCCCTGAGTGAGATGGCAAGCCATTGGAAGTGTCTGGGCAGAGGTATGACATCCTCTGACTTAGACTTTTGGATATTGCTCTGCTTTTTTGATAATAAATAGATTATAGAGCAAGGAAGCCCTTTAAGGGGCTGTTGAGACAATCCAGTTTCCTGAGTCACACAGATGGTTTGTGCTCAGCTACAACTAATCAAAAGATTGGAGGTTTGAACCCACCCAGTAGTGCCACAGAAGAAAGGCCTGGCAATCTGCTTCCATAAAGATTACAGCTAAGAAAACCCTATGGAGTTCAGTTCTACTCTGTAACACATGGGGTCTCCATGAGTTGGAATCAGCTCGCTGGTAGGGTTTTTTTTTTTTTTGTTGTTGTTTGTTTGGTTGGTTTGCAGCAATCCAGGCAATATATGGTAGTGGCTGGACCAGGGTGGTAGCAGTAGAGGTGGTAGGAAGTGATTAGATTATCAATTTATTTTAAAGATAGGATGAGAGAGGGGAGTCAAGTATCACTCTGAAATTTTGAATCTGAGCAGTTGGAAAGTTGGAGTTCTATTTGCTGAGATGTGGAAGACTGCAGTAGGCAAGATTAGGAATTTGGTTTTGGGCACACAAAGTTTGAGAATCTTACTAGACATCCAATAGGAGAATAGTGACTAGGCATTTGAAAATGTAAACCTGGAGTTCATCAGAGAGGCAGCAGTTTGTTAATGCAATTTAAAGCTGGAAGCCTCATCTAGGGAGTAAATTCGATAGAGAAAGAAAGATAACCAAACCACGGCCAGCCCTTGAGGCCTGTCAACATTAAGAGGCTGAAGATATGGGAAGGATGCAGTAAATGAGACCAAGAAAGCCAGTGAGGTAGCAGGAAAATGTGAAGTCCTAGAAATCAAGAAGAGAGGGGAGTCAATGATGTCAAATGATAACTGAAAATTGACCATTGGAATTAGCAACATGAGAGCTGTGGTTTTTGACAAGAGCAGTTATGAGTGAAGTAGGGGGCCTGATTGTAGTAGATTCAAGAAAGAATGGAAGGGAAGGAATTAGAGACTGCTGGAATAAGCAGGGAGTCCCTGAGTGGCAATAACAGTCCAATAGGGAATGCACTAGGCTGCTAACCTAAAGGTTGGCAGTTCCAGTCCACCCAGAGGTGCCTGGGAAGAAAGGCCTGGTGATCTATTGCAACAAACCAGCCATTGAAAACACTATGGAGCACAGTTCTACTCTGATACACATGGGGTTGCTGTAAGTCGGAATTGACTCCATGGCAACTTTTTTTTTTTTCTTTTTTTTTTTGTGGGATGGGGTGGGATGGTGGAGTTTAGTATAAGCAACTCTTTTGAGGAATTTGTTCTAAAAGAGAGAGAGAAAATGGAGTTTCACCTGGAGGGGAATATGGAGTCAAGGCGTTTTTTTTGTTCTTGTCTTAGATGGAGAAATAACACGTTTCAGGCTTATGGGTAATGATCAGAAGAGAGGGAAAAATTGATTCAAGAGAAAGAGGAAGAAATTCAGAGTTTGAGGTGTCCATTTTAATAAACTTGTATGTACAAGGATTTCTGTAGGCTAGATTCTTAAAAGGATTTCCTGAGTCAAAGAGCATGTGCATTTTAAAAGTCTGTGATATAAAAGTACCAATTTATAGTCCACCGTCAGTGTATACCCTTGCTAACAATGGACATTCCTAATCTTTAAAATTATTGCCAATCTGATGGATGATATCTTCATTATTTTAATTTCCTTTATTGCTTTGTAGGAACCGTTTATATAGTCTATCTAATCTTTCTTATATTTTGGCAAATATTTTCTCCCAGGATGTCTCTTGCCTTTTAACTCTGTTTATGGTATCCTTTTACCATGAGGAAGTTTTTTCAGTTTTTATGTAGTTAAATCTGTCAGCCATTTCCTTTTATAGCGTTTAGGTTTCATTTTGGATTATATAAATATTTTATATAATCTTCTAATGCATTTATACATTTAAATGTTTAATTCTCCTGGAATTATTTTTGTGTGTGTCATGAAATAGTTATCTAAGTTTTCCATCTTTTTCTATGTTCTTAAACAGTAAAATGCCACAGGAATTGTCTTTATCTTGAAGCTTGGAAGAAATTACCTGTAAAGTCTTCTAGTACTGGAGCCTTCTTGGAGGGTAGTTGGCTACTTAAAAATTTTTTTTTTCTGTGGTTAGTCATTTATTTAGTTTATCAGCTTCTTTTTAGGTCAGTTTTGGCAATTGATACTTTCCCAGCACATCATTCTTTTCATCCAGATTTTCAAATATTTTGGTTTAAAATTCTACATGAAGAGAGAAAGAATACTAAATCTCCTGTGTATTTGAGTATATCCCTTGTACTTTCTCCTTCATCCCAGCAGCAAATGCTGGAGCCCTCCTTTTTCAGATCTGGTATTGGTTTAGCTGTTTTCAGCCTCATGGCCCAGCTCTTAGTGCCCTGATTTGGGGTTATTCTTAGATTCCCGGGGAAGATTTCCTTTTGATGGCCTTCTCTTTGTTTGTAGGGGATTGTAGGTTCCTTGGCGCTGTTTCCTCTCAGTGAGTGCCTTTGCTCTTTCGCTTACAGAATTTCTACTGTGAGATCTGCCGGTGAGTATGCTCCCTTCTTGGTTTCCAGCATTACTAGGGACTTATTTTTCTATTTCTTCTGTCATTTGGGAGAGATTTTGGAGGAATGGGAGGCAAATACTTGTGTTCAGTTAATCATTCAAAACAGGAAGTCAGCATTCTTTCCTACGTGGTTTTCTTTTATCAGAGCCCCCTGTTTAATTGCTGGTTGCACAGCGGTGGGATAGTAAGGGACTTCACAGCGCCGAGGGGTCACAGTCAGGTGGACTTCACTGCTTGACTTTTTTTTTGGGTGTGGGGGGAATGAAACTGGATGTCTCAGTGGAATATACTTGTCCAGAAGACGTATTGATAGATTGTGACTATTCAAATAGTACTTTTTAAACTTAAATGGCATAGTTTCAACATTTAGAATACAAGGGACTTTACAGATCATTAGGCCAACTGCCATATTTTATGGATGAATTTGAGGCCCACAGGGATTCCCTGATTTATCTAAGGTGATCAAGCAAGACAGAAAGCCCAAGTTTCTTTACTTTCATTTTGCTGTGCTATTTGCTATTTTTCACATTCTTGCTGTTCTTAGCCATGGAAGAAAGGCATTTTCAGCTATTAATAATAAAAAAAAATTAACTTAAAGATGGTACATATGGCCTAGAATTGCCTCTGAGATTTGGTCTTAGATACTTTATTAAATACACTGACATGGATTTTGCTTTTTCTCACATAGATATTGAATATTATGATACAAATGTGAATTTTAAAAGAGTAAGCTGTCAGGTTATACTCTAGCCTAAATGAAAACAATGTAGTTTATTTCCCTCAAGTATCCTGTTTTCTACTTGTAGACTTTATGTGATTTATGGACTCTTAGAATTTCTTATTAATATTTTAGAGAAGCTTAAGGAATAGATAAAAACATATAGACTTGAAAAATGATTCTAGTGATAAATAATCATAAGATATTTCAGACCTAAGATTTCTAATTTCTTAGTTTAGTATAGCATATTTTTATATCAACACCTAAATTTAAAAAGACTAAAATATATAAGTCTTTAAGAAAAGAGGTTTGCTTATCATTTCTTCAGCAAGCATTAGCGGGTATACTATCAAAATTTTGTTGCTTTGCTTGGTCTTCAGCTTCAGCAGAAAGTTTTTAAAATATAGGATTTTGATTTTCGATCTCCCGTGTCATTAGTGCTTTAGAAACATCAAGGGTTTAAGATGTATAGCATTAACGCACTTAGATGGGCTCTTTTCCTTTCTTTGCTTCTCTTTCCTTTTCTTTTTCCAAGCAACTTAAGAAGAGGGGCAGTTTGGATGTAGTTGCTCCAGAATTATATTCTAAGAAGATTTAATTATCTTCAGGTTTTACCTTTTGAAATTCATGATATGACCTACTGATTTTTTTTGTAAACTAATGAACAATCTCTTTAATATGAATTCTAAGATTTTATTTTATTTTCCAGTTGCTCATAATGGCAGGTGAAGAAATTAATGAAGACTATCCAGTAGAAATTCATGAATATTTATCAACATTGGAGAATTCCATTGGTGCTGTGGATGAGATGCTGAAGACCATGATGTCTGTTTCTAGAAATGAGTTGTTGCAGAAGGTATTTTAAAAATGTTGATTCCTAAAAGTGTAACTTATAAAACAGTGCTGTTCTATGAAAACATACAGAAGAAGAAATGCTAGGTGCCGCCAAGTCTGTTCCGACTCATAGCGACCCTGTGTACAATAGAACAAAACACTGCCAGGTCCTGCGCCATCCTCACAATCATTGCTATGTTTGAGCCCATTGTTGCAGCCACTGTGTCAGTCCATCTTGTTGAGGGTCTTGCTGTTTTTTGTTGACGGTCAACTCTACCAAGCATGTCCTTCTCCAGGGACTGATCCCTGCTGATAACATGTCCAAAGTATATGAAACGAAGTCTCACCATCCTTGCTTCTAAGGAGTATTTTGGCTGCACTTCTTCCAAGATAGATTTGTTCATTCTTCTGGCAGTCCATGGTATATTCAGTATTCTTCGCCAACACCATAATTCAAATGCATTTTTGGTCTTCCTTATTCGTTGTCCAGCTTTTGCGTGCATATGAGGCGGTTGAAAATACCATGGCTTGGATTAGGGGCACCTTAGTCCTAAAAGTGACATCTTTTATTTTTAACACTTTAAAATAGATTAGTGATACGTGCCCCTTTCCTCTTTTATTTTAACTCAATATGTATTTGAGTATTTCTAGGGGAAAAAAAAACAAAGCAAAACTCTAACCTTAGAAAATGCTTCCTGACTATAACCTATAACTATTTTTATTTTGACTTGATTTTGAGAAAAAAAAAAAGGAGTACTCACAACATTCTTTTTGACAGACTCTATCTTTGACCTTTTAAGTATTACATTGATGTTATCAGGATTTCTGGAAACCCTATAGGACAAAAGCAGTAAATTGACTTTGACAGTCTAAAACAAATCTCATTATGTTTCTTCTGTCTTTGGTATTGCCTAAGCATTTTAGCCTGCTTCTTATACATAAATGCATCATGTACAATGTTTATATTGATAAATTACTTTTGACATACAAAGCCCAGATCGTAACTCCCCAAATTAAAATAATTCAAAAGAATTTTTCTTGGATTACACACATTGCTTTGTCTAACTAAAGATGGTACCCTGAAGTGAAAATTTGTGGGCAAAAATCACTGCTTAACAAAACTTAGCCTTTTTGCAAATTATTTCCAGACCATTTAGTTATTGAATTATAGAAAGTGGAAAAAAAAAAAAGAAAAACATTTCTTTGATACATTGTGCTTGGTGAAAGTTTAAAATGTTACTGATGGTACTCAAAGTTTGTGTGTATTTCTCTTATTTCTTCTTATTCTTTTTTTAATAGCTGGATCCACTTGAACAAGCAAAAGTGGATTTAGTTTCTGCATACACATTAAATTCAATGTTTTGGGGTAAGTGTATTACTTTGGACTTAATTAGAAAGCAAATTATTTATTGTGCCAAAGTGATTTTTTTTTTAAATGATAGCTATTTATATATAATTATACTTTATGGCAATTTTAATAGTCAGATATTTATTTCTTTTAAATCAGAATACCAGATGCCCATGAGCCACACATAAATTTAATTTTACATATGGATTGAATAATTTAAGATTTAATTAATCATTTGTGTGACTTTCCTTTTTTGTAAATAGCTAGAGTTTCTTTAATTGTAATGCTTTGAGTTAATATATACACCATTTTCCATGAAATCTTTTTCTTGTAGTTTATTTGGCAACTCAGGGAGTTAATCCTAAGGAACATCCAGTAAAGCAGGAATTGGTAAGATTTCAATTAATTATTTTCTTTTCATTTTACATGTCTGTTTGTTGTGCATGGTATACTATCTCCTGATAGACTTGTAGCATTCTTGAAGTTTAAGTCATAGTACCTTGATTACACTTATTTTGGGGAACAAAATTATTTAGCATTGAAATTTTGGAAGTGAGCCAGATCTCATCATGTCTTTGGTTTTTCCTTCTCTTACCTTTGTGAGAGAATTGATGTTCCATATATTATATAAGTCTTTAGATGGGAAAATGTTATGATTCTAGTAATTATTTATAACTTCCATATTATTTTTTCTATAAATTCTTGAAATCCTGTTCATCTCTAGGATTTTTTTTTTTTTTTTTAAACTCTTACACAATTCTTAAAAGTATATTCTAGTTGATTTACTAGCAAAGACGGGAAAGTTTCTCCCCCACCTTTTCAATTCCTCCATTAATTCATTTTCTCAGCAGTAAAGAATCCAGTTCAGCAACAAAGCTAAAAGCTTTTTTGGCACCAGTTGTATATGTACTGTCCAGTAATTCTGTATTAGTGACATATTTACAACCTGTAATAAATCTTCTAGGTTTGTCTTTGTATTCCATTTAGATGTGGAAGTACAGTATATAAGGTCTGGTATCTTGGAGTTTTTGCTGACTTCAAAAATTAAATCATTCAATTTGAAGAAAAGAATTAAAATCAAACTTACGGTTACCTTCTTGACTTGGCTTTATGAATAAGAATATTATTAATAAATCTGTTCTTTGTGTATATAAAATATAAGGTAAATATGTATGTGAAATACACTTGACATTGTATTCTGTTCTTGTTCTCAGGTCTTAGGGTAGTTGATATGTGTGTTATTTATAACTGGGTCATTTATTTTAAAAAAAGACAGGTAGAGCGAATCTGTTGCCTTTATTTTGTTTAGTGTGTGGACTGAGGTATTTTCTTGCTTTCTTTAAAAGTTCTTTGGAAGGGAGGGGTATACAAAATATAGCAATTATAGAAAATATTTAAAGCAAAAGTATAAAGCAGTATTATGTGCCAATCGTGGTTTGACCAGTGATAGTGGCTTTAAACGATAAGAAATGTGGTTGTGTCATCTCTTTTCAACTTTATGATATTCATACAGCCAAGAGGATGAAATTCCTTTTTCCATTAGCACAGTTATTTGGAATATTTTAATACTTGTATTGTCAGTGGAAAAGGATAAGATCATCTGTCTTCCTCCCCCTCAGAGCACATTCTTTGGAGGAGTACATTCATATTCTGAAGCAGGGTTGGCAAATAACAAGCAATATAAACCTGCTCCCCTTTCTGATCTTGTCACAGACATTACTAATTGATCACAGAGCTAGTGTGTGAGAGGGAAACCTACTTGCTATATTTTTATTACAAATAGCAAAGGACTGTTGAAAATAGTTTATTCATTCAACAAATATTTGAATGCTTACTGGGTGCCAGGTGTTATTTCCAAGTGAGTGGGTTCCTCAGTAAATAAAGCCAGTGAATGTCCCTGCCCTTGTGGACTGTATCTAGTGGAAGAGACAAACAGTAAACACAAGAAAACAGACAAACAAATAATAAATACACACGAATATGTAGTATGTTAGAAAGCTGTATGTGCTGTGGGAAAAAAAGAAACGAAATAGAGTTGGGTAAGAGGGGTTGGTAGTGCTTGGGGTTGGATTGCAATTTTCAATGGTAAAGTCAGGGCCTGATTGAAAAGGTGTTATTTGAGCAGACAGGAGAAAAGACAGGGAGTGGCTCTGTGGATATTTGAGGGAAGATCATTCCAGGCAGAGGAGTAAGCAGGGTGGAGACCCCGAGACAGGGCTGGGCAGGGCTGGGCTGGGTATGTGCTGCAGCTGGTGGCTGCCATTGTAAGGGCTTTGGCTTCATTCTGAGAAATAGCCATCAGAGGGTTTTGAGCAGAGTTGTCCATCTTCTACAGTTAAAACATTTTAAGGTTCTGCGTCTTTCTCTGTATGTTTATGTATAACTGCTCTGATTATTTCAGTGAAGCTTGCTGCTAAGCTGTGATCAATCATTTACTCTGCCATTTTACGGCCATCGTCAACTTTATTTCTCCAGTTGAAGGGTAGGATAACCCTTTATTCTGATTAATGGTCTCAGAAGATTCAAAGTGGTATGGCAACATATTATGTTTCTCCCCTTGTAAAGTCTGATTAGAGCTGTACATTTTATTAGGAAAGTTCATGTGCTTTCAGTCAAAACTATGAAATTGAATAAAAGACTGTATTTTTATGCTGCCTATTTTAATTGTGACACTAGAAGGTAACATACAAGAAGAAATAGTTAAACATTGCCCCCTCCATTTTCTGTTTAGAAAAATTTCAGGAGAGTTTAGCTTGATGAGTGTTGCAAATATACGAGAACTCAGATCTTAGGTTGTAGACTTCAGATACAAAACAGGCAATATGTGGGTTTAGGTTAATGCTAATTACAAAAAATTTGCGGTGACATACAAACAATTTAATGGTTATCAGTGTAGTGATGTCTTAGTATAGTCGTTCTTCTTTTTAAACACTTGGAACACTTCTGAAATGACTTTTTAATGCCTGTCTTCCCCCCAGACTGTGAACTCCAGGAGAGCATGGAGCATGTTTACCCCATTTACTTGTGCTTACTGGCACCATGGATTTGATAAGCAATACACAGCTGTTGAATTTAACCGAGATGGAGTATAATAAAACTTAGTGGTGATGAACAGCTTAGTAAATCTATTTTCTTTCTTTGTTTTTTAATCTTTAAGGAAAGAATCAGAGTGTACATGAACAGAGTCAAGGAAATAACAGACAAGAAGAAGGCTGGCAAGCTGGACAGAGGGGCAGCTTCAAGATTTGTGAAAAATGCCCTATGGGAACCCAAACCTAAAAATGCATCAAAAGGTGCCAATAAAGGAAAAAAGTAAAAACTGAAACTTTTTGGTTTTGATGGACACATATTCAAAAAGTACATCATTTTTATTGTTTTCCACAAAAGATATGATGCCTAATGGGGCACTGCAAGGTTTAAATGTAGTCCTTATTGAATTCATATATAAAATTGGACACTTGAAACTTGTAATGCTAAATAGTTTCTTTTTTTTCCAGAAAGATTAAGTTATGTTTACTGATTGTCCTGTAGAGAGCTATGAGGTTTTTAACATTGTGGTATATATTATACTTTACCATCTCTTGATGAAACTCTTGATTTCCTTGCATGGTCAAAATCTTTGAAGTACCATTTTATAAACAATTGTGAGATTTAAGTTATATATTTGTAAACATTTGTACTATTTTAAATGTACCTGATGAAATGTGCTATCTGAAGGCTGTTTTCACTATATAATATGTCTGTTTTCACTGTATAATATTAAGAAAGAATGAAATGACTTAAATGTCCATTTTTTTCTGTATAGTTACTTTATCATGTTTTCATGATTTTAGGAATTATTGCTTTTTTAAAAAATATTTGAGGCGTGAAATTAAAAAACTTTAAGGTTATAATTTACTTCTTGGCATTTTGCCTCTATGTCCCATTTAAAATAAAATACATTTTCATTAAGTTTAGATGGGAAATGAGGTTGTATGCTGCTGGCTGAATTTTGGCATAATGGCTATACCCTATCAGTAAAAGTATAGCTAACTTGTTTATTTTTCTCTTGAAGAAATTTACCTTCCAAATTAGGAAGATAGGTTTCAGAAATCATCATGAATGGAGAAATTCATGGATTTTTGTTCTTAATGCATAATACCTCAGGTAACTGCCCGTAGTTCTCTCGATCTAATTTTTTCGTATTTTTTGCTTGTGTGTTTTTGAGGCTATGTTAAGTACATACAAGTGTTTTGAAAGAATTTTCTATGCTACATAATGCCACTTAAACAGAAGGAGAAATCCGAAGGAGATTACATTGTGTTTATATTCTGATTTATTTTTCTGGAATATTGGCTACAGAGAATTCTACATACTAAACTTTTTTTTTTATGTCTAAGCCCATGAATTTTAATTATATGCCCGTAATGCTTTCAGTCTTTGAATCCACATCATTATGTGCAGGAATGCCAAGTACAGTAAAGTACTTTAATTTTTGAAAAAGGAGTTGTTAAAATTTTCTGTGTGATTAATTCTCCATAAGTAACCCTGAATAAATGGGTTTCTTGATTTATGGTAGCAGATATTGGAAATGGTCTTAAAATGTAATGGGTTTTGTAAAGCATGTTGAACTCTTTCTGTGACACATGAAGTGGAAGTCACGGAGAGAGGCAGAAAGTCTCTCCTGGCTCTGATGTCAGACAATTTTTGAAGTGGAAGAATATTTATAGTTATTTCACTTCTATCCTTTCAAATTTCCAGCTATTTAAAGTCGCTTCTTCATGAGAGAAATAAGTGTTGTCATTAAGATCCAGCGCAGTATACGTGTCTTTGTGTCATTTATTGCAGAGAAGCCTGTAATTTGCATTTCTGTGTATTTTCTCAATTCATAAAGAAAAAAGGGTTAAGTGGAAAATGTCCCACAGCTGCAGAAAATCACTAGCCAGATTATCGATTTGTGAAAGTCTAACTCTATGTTCTGTTAAATTGGAGATTGTTAAGTAATTCTTTCAATGTTTATTTTAGAAATAAAAAATGATTTTCATGTATTCCATTTTATTATGTATAATTTTAAATACTTATTACCTAGCAAATAATAAGGAACTGAATGGAAGCCGTGCATTGGATTGCTGCCTTGTTTGTCTTTGTGTATTCATTCCACACACACTTAACGACGTTTACATTGCCTGATACTGTGCTGGGCGTTAGGTTCCGAATAAGACAATTCAGCCTTTAGCCTACTTTGATAGTGTTGTGAAAAAGGTAGTCTTTTCATTCAGTTCAGTTTTTCAGACTTACTGGAAAATTTATGACAAATTGTGCTCATTAACCTTAGTCAGAACCATAAAAGGTGATGGGTTGATCTATTTGACTGTGGTACGGTTATTGTTAACATAGTTTGTTCTGAATGGCAGTGTGCTCTAAGTTTAGATGTTAATTACAACCTTTTATTAATTTCTCGGGAATTAGCAAGTCGGAGAGGTTGCAGCTATAGATATTTTTAAGATTAGAATTAGAGACTGTTGATCTAATGCTAAATAATGAGATTTTGTCTTTTAATATTTTAAATACAATTTTCTTGTTCGTAGTTGCAGGATGGGAATTCATTTTAGTAAAGTAGAATATGTTAAGAGAAAAATTGAAGCTTGAATTATGGTTTACTGGAATTAGGATGTTATATCAAGTTGATTGGTTTTTAAGACACCTTGCACATTAAAAAATTGTTCTACTTAGCTATTAGAAATGAATTGGTATTATTTCTAAATAAAATTGACTAGAAACGTAGGAACGGCCTCAAAAATGGACAATGTATTGACTATAGATATGCTTTTCTTAAGTAGGTCGTTGGAGAACAAGATTCTTCAGGAGTCAGTTTATGATATAGTTGAATGATAATTTTGTGTAATAAATTATTAGAAATTCTGGCTTTACAAAGTGACATTAACTGAGAAACATTTGAACAGTGTTTCCGAGCCTCACTCAGTGGCTAAGCTTGGTAGATAAAGGGACGAAAAGGAAGCAGGGCACCTCATTTTCTTCAGTATCCACACAGCATAGTCAGCTCGCTCAGATACTGTCAGTGCCTCTTTTACCTAATGACCTTGGTAGCAACCGATTCTGTATAAAGAAATGTGATCTGAGTGTGCATTCCTGATAAAAACATTTTCTTTTTCCCTAGATCCTTGTTTAAAACTCTTCTGTCTTGACAATACAAGCCACATTTTGTTTATTTTGTGTATTAGTGTTTTATAGCTGCATTAACAGTTTTGTTAGGGGGAAAAGTTTACAGGACTTTATAATAGAATGCTGTAGATTTGTTCTGCTTGATTAATTCACTGTTTGCTCACTAGCAGGATTTGAAGAAAATGCTTTGAATGTTTTTGGTTGGTGGGTTAGTTCTCCTGCCAGAGTGAGCTCACTGTGATAGACTACTCTTTGGAGCAGCCACCCACTGACTTGATGTGCTGTTTTAAAGTGCTTATTTTATGGCATAATTTTTAATACAGCCAGGAGGATTAGTAGATCTATCCAGATAAGAAATAGCTCTAGTGATATCCATTGGCAGTTAAGGTTTAATTTTACTGTCTTCCCCCCAAAAAAGACCCAAGATAAAAAAACCACCTAGCTCTGTATTAATCTATTCCTAAAAGGTTGAAAGAAGATGCTAGTTTTTACTTTTTTTCTCTCCTGTGAACCTTGAAGTTTAGCAAATGTCTCATGGCAGAATAACTGCATACAGGATATCAGTTTTGCAAAGTGATATATTTCAGACTGTATACAAAATTTGATGGTGGGAAAAACAAGCTTTATAAATGGAACATTTAAGAGACTCTTTTTTACTATTTGCTTTTCAGTTTAGTGCTGCCTTTAGGGTGCACCATTTCAGTTTGACAGCTACGATAAATGACAGGGAAATTGAAGAAGATAATTCAACATTTCGAGATGCTTCTGCTAAAATGAATGTATACCTATCTGGGGTTTGCATTTAAAGTTAATAGTAATACAGGATTTTAAAGCTGAGTACGCAGGAAACTCATGGTGATGGGATTTGAATGAGATGATTAGGAGAAATAGAGAAGAATGCCTTCATTTCCTTGTTATGTGGGTATTATCTATTGAGAGGCTATGTTAAAAAATGCTACTGTAAAAAGAATCGAGGCTTGTTATTCAAAGTTTGCTGGAGTGTACAATTCATCTTGGGCCTTGTCCAAAAAGGTT